TCCTCTTGTATCTCCTGTTTCACTCCTGTCTTGTAGGAAAAGGCAGTCCTGTTGCCAAGGCCACCTCCTTTACATGCATGCTTAATCCTATCCCAACAGTGAGTAGAGTGCTGGGCTTGGAGTCAAGAAGATCTGAATTCAAATCTAGTCTCAGATACTAACTATGTCGCCCTGGGCAAGCCACTTATACTCTGTCTGCCTCAGTTTTCTCATTTTTAAAATGGGGATAACAGTACACATCATTATGAGGATTAAATGAGATAATATTTATAAAATGCTTTGCAAACCTTGAAGAGCTGCATAAATGCTAGATTATATATAAAAAATAACAACAATATCCTATCTTCCTACTTTCCAATGCACTTTCACAGACTTTCCTTCCTGTGATTCCAGCTCTTTCAGGGTCTACATTCAGTCAATAGGCATTTGTGAAGCTCTTGCTATAAATCAGGCCCTGTTCTAAGTAGGAGCTGGGGATGGCAAGCAAGGGTCGTGAAATGACACGGGAGAGGCAAACATCCTGCTCCTGCTTATAGTTCTCTTTAAATTTTAAATGTCTGCTTGCTGTCCTGTGGTTTCCACTGCTGTGGGAGATTACCTGGGCTTACATCTTGAGTCTTCTGTTTGTGTGTCATGACAGTCACAACACCTAGAGAGGGGCGGGCAGCAGACTCGCTGCTTCTGTTGATACCAAACGTGTTTACCTTTGATGGTAAACAGTCATCCTGCCCACAAGTGGGAACTTGCAAACCCACTTCTGGGCCCTGGAATCCGAGCCAGGTTTCTTACCCTTTCAAGCTCTGGGGAGGTAGGGGTCGGGGGTGGGGGATGAGCATCACAGAATGGATGATGAGGGGTAGATCTATATCACACTTGGTTCAGAATAGATTCTTCTCTGGATTCTGGGTTGACTTTGAGAATTGAATGTAGTGGCAGTTCTTCTACAGTTACACTTGGCATGGGACAAGACTGCCCAGGATGAGAAGGTCTGGAGAGCTCAATTGTCAGCTGTGCCCAAGTGGAACATCCACCCTGGGGAAGGAGCCATTGAATGAATCCAAGCGATGTGAGTTACCAGATTCCAACCAGTGCTAATTATAGAATATGTCAAGAGCCAAACGCACATATACCCTGGACAGAGCTCTGGAGCAGAGATGAAACAAAGGGGGTCCATGTGCTGCATGCCATGCTCAGGGTACTGAACATGGAGTCATCAGAACGATACATGGAAAACTTATCTCACACGTTGTTGGAAGGACCAAATGAGATAATATATGTCAACCACTTTGCAAGTGTTAACACCTACGTAAAATTCAGTAATCATTGTTAGCCTCTCTGAGTCTCAATTAACTCCTATGTAAAATGAGATGGTGATTCCTTCCAGACCTAAGCCTATGACCCAATTACTTAAGGTCAAGTTTCTAATTCATTTTTTTATCATTAGAAATAATTTTCTTTGTTTAAATAGTTTTCCTCTTTAAAAATCAGTTATTATTGGTGCCGCAGTGGATAGAGTACCCAGTCTGATGTCAAAGACTTCTCTTTCTGAGTTCAAATCTGGCCTCAAACACTTACTAGCTATGTGACCCTGGGCAAGTCACTTAACCCTGTTTGCCTCATTTTCCTCATCTATAAAATGAGCTGGAGGAGGAAATGGCAAACCACTCCAGTATCTTTGCCAAGAAAACCCCAAATGGGGTCATGAGGAATCAGACATGACTGAACAATGGCAGGACCACAAAAAGAGATAAAAAGCTTAAATTTCGCAGATCTCCTAATCTGTATAACATCTTTTATTTCTTGACAAAGATGTTCTCTCAGTCCTATTTTCACTGAAAGGCAGTTCATAATAAGGTACGGGGCTTTCCCAAAGCTAAAAAATAATTACTCTTTACAATAGGGCTAAAACCTAACTCCTGAATAAATAAATTCCTGTCTGACAACATTAGTCCAAATTGAGTCAAGACCATAACCCACATTTCTTTATGGCTAAGAAGTATATGTGCCTTTGGCTGTGACATATTCTATAACTAGCACTGGTTGGAATCTGGTAATTCACATCACTATTTCTAACCCTCAAGCATGTATGTCATTACACAAAGAGGGTGGCAGACAGAGGAGAGTGGAGTCAATTATCCAAGACACTTATCTGTAGATTAGGTCTTAACTTGGGACCTCCGGACTTTAAAAATATCTTGATAACTATAGTTTGATGTAATTGGTTTATTTTTTAACTTTATGGTTTTCTCCCCTCCCTCCTAACTTCCCTGTTACTGTTGGGGGTAATACCATCCTCCCTGTCACTGGGGCTCACAGCCTAGGAATCAGACTGGAATCCTCACCTCTCTCTCATCCCCTATGTCCAAGCTGTTACGGAGGTCTGTCAGCTTCACCTCGAACACATCTATCCCCTGATGCTGCCACTCCCCTGCTGCAGACCCTCATCACCTCCCGGTTGGACTATCGCAGTAGTGGCTGGTGGGTCTGCGTGCCTCAACTCTCTCCCCTCTCCAAACCTCCACACAGTTGCCAAAGTGATTTTCCTAAAGGTCAGGTCTGACCATGTTACCCCCATCTCCTACTCAACACGCCCCAGTGACTCCCTATTGCCTCCCGGATCAAATACAAAGGGCTGAGGCTGGCATCAAAGCCCTTCACATCCTAGCGTCTTCCTACCATTCCAGTCTTCTCACACCTTACTCCCCCTCATATCCTCTTCGGTCCAATGATGCTGGCCTCCGGGCTGTTCCATGAACAAGACCCTCCAACCCTTGCTCTGGGCATCTTCTCCGGCTGTCCGCCGTTCCTCCTCAACGCAGCCTACTGGCTTTCCCGGCTTCCTTTAAGTCCCAATTAAAATCCCATTTTCTACAGGAAGATTTCCCCAACCCCTCTCAGTTCTAGTGTCTTTCCTCTGCCAATTACTTCTTATTTCTCCCGTCGATGACTTGTTTGTACCTATGTGTTAAGCTCCTTGAGCACAGGGACTGTCTTTTGCCCCCTTTTGGATCCTCATTGTTTAGCACAGTGCCTGGCACATAGTAAGTGCTTAATAAATGTTTATCAACTGACTATTAATTGACTCTTATTATTTTATACATTTAAAAACTTTACTCTGAGAGCAGTCCGTATGCTTCCCCAGCCTGTGCCAAAGGGGTCCATGACCCAACAAAGGTTGAGAATCCCTTGGGAATCCTAATTTATGCAATTCATTGGCCATGTAGTCCAACCCCTTACATTTGCAGATGAGAAAACTGAGGTCCAGGGATGTTACATGACCTGCCTAAAGTCACAAAGAGAGTAAGTGTCAGAGGTAGAATTTGAACCCAGGACCCCAACTGCAGAACCAGCACTCCTTCCTCAATACCACATGGAAGAAACGTTCTTAAAAGAAATGAGAGTTTTCTGTCCAGCTGCTTCCCTGAGATTTGTTCATTTCCTCTCAGAGTCAATGGTGCCCTTCACCATTATCACCTGGGTGTTGGGCCATTTTACAGAAGTTACTGACCCTTTAATCATGAAAGCCTCAGATTCAGAGGTGGTGCTAGTGTGCCAGGCTCCTGACTCCTAAGGCAGCCCCCTTTCCATGAGACCAGGGATTCTTAACCTGGGCGCTACAGACCCCTACCATTTCAGGGGTCCACGAATTTGAATAGGAAAAGAAAATTGATTTTCACTAACCTCTAACTGAAATTTAGCATTTCTTTCAATTATGAATATTATTTTTCTGAGAAGGGATCCACAGGTTTCACCAAACTGCCAAGGGGGATCCATGACCCCAAAGGTTAAGTAGAGAGACAGTGTACAACCTTAACAGACTCCTTTTTTTTTTTTTTTTTTTTTTTGGCTAGGCAATGGGGTTAAGTGACTTGCTCAGGGTTTCACAGCTAGTAAGTGTCAAGTGTCTGAGGCTGGATTTGAGCTCAGGTCCACCTGACTCCAGGGCTGGTGCTCTATTCATTGCGCCACCTAGCTCCCCCCCCCCCCCCTTTTTAGACTACTTCATAAAAGACCACTTCCCACGTCTAGTTTATGTGGTATGTGTTTGTGTGTTTGTGGGGATGGGGGGAGAGGAAATTACATGTGTACTTAGAGTCAGTTGGGTGGATAACTAGATCTATTTTTTTCCCCTTGTCAACAGAACTATAATTAGCATTTGGTGCCTAGACTAAATACCTCCAAGGACTCCTGGGGCAAGCTGTAGGAAGTGGGCCCTCAGTCAAAGGTTGGGGAAGAGATCGCAGTGACCGTAGAAGCTGAGGAGTCAGGAGCAGGGTGGGATGGAGCAGGAGTTTGCTCCAGTCTGGTAGCTTCCTATTTTAACTGATTTTTCCTATTGACTAGCTGCTGCACTTTGCAATTTCTATACTTCAGAAGGACTTCAAGTGTAGTTAGTGCCCTCAAAATTTGACACTTTAAGGCAAAGCCCCAGTCTCCCCACCCTAGTTATGGCTCTGTTTGGCAACGCCAACTATGGGCACTGGTAGCAAATGAAGTGCCTGACTGCTCCATTTGAGAACCCCTGGGCTAATCTAATGGTAAAAATCAAACAGACAGTCATAGAATTTCTACATCCCACTGTGAAGTAAACACTTTGTTCAAACCTCTTTCTGTCTTATCTTAGACTCAAGACATCATTAGAGACATTGAGGGTTTCTGCCTTTAGGACAGATTGTGTTTGTCCTTCTTTCTTACTCTATGGCTCTCTGCCTTTGGTGTGAATTCCTTGATCTGATGGGTAGCGCAAGCGGATAGAGGCTAGACCTGCAGTCAGGAAGACCTGAATTCACATCCAGTCTCAGACACTTACTAGCTGGATGCCCCTGGGCAAATCACTTAACCTCTGTCTGCTTCACTTTTTTCAGCTGTAAAATGGGTACAATAATAACACCTACCTCTGAGGGCTGTTGTGGGGATTGAATGAGAGAATAATTGTTACGGCATGTAGTAGGTGCTAAATAAATGCTTATTCCCTAATTCTCTCTGTTGACCGTTTGCAGGATAGCTTTGACTATAATTCCACTATTCCCGACGAGATTTACAGCAATGACATGTGTAGGAAGACCAACGTCAGGCAACTGGCTAACTACTTCCTTCCACCTTTCTACTGGCTTGTGTTTATGGTAGGGACTTTCGGCAACAGTCTAGTCATCGTTATGTACTGGTACTGTACAAGAGTGAAGACCATGACGGATATGTTCCTACTGAACCTGGCAATTGCTGACCTCCTCTTCCTCCTCACTCTGCCCTTCTGGGCCATTGAGGCTTCTGAGCAATGGAAATTCGGGAACAACATGTGCAAAGTGGTCAATGCCACATACAAGATGAACTTTTACAGCTGCATGCTGCTTCTCATGTGTATCAGTATTGACAGATACATCGTCATTGCTCAGGCCATGAAAGCCCATCGCTGGAGGCGGAGGCGTCTTCTCTACAGCAAAATGGTGTGTTTTGCCATCTGGATGGTGACGATCACCCTGTGTATCCCAGAATACCTGTACAGCCAAAGTAAGATGCATTCCGACATCAACACCTGTACGATGGTCTATGACGACAGTAGGCTCAAGTCCATTGTTCTGATGCTCAAATTTATTCTGGGATTCTTTCTCCCACTCATTGTCATGGCTATCTGTTATACCATCGTCATTCACACCCTGATGCAAGCCAAGAAGTCATCTAAACACAAAGCCTTAAAAGTGACCATCTTGGTCCTCACAGTCTTTGTTGTATCTCAATTTCCCTACAATATCATTTTATTGGTGCAGACCATCGATGCATACAGGATGTTCATCACAGACTGTGACATTTCCACCCACATTGATATCTGTTTCCAGGTTACGCAGACCATCGCATACTTTCACAGCTGCCTGAACCCAGTCCTTTATGTTTTTGTGGGTGAAAAATTCCGCCAAGATCTTGTAAAAACCCTGAGGAAACTGGGATGCATCAGCCAGGCCCAGTGGGTCTCCTTCAATAGGAGAGAAGGAAGCCTAAGGTTGTCATCCATGATGCTAGAGACAACATCTGGCCCCCTCTCCTTCTAAGAGATCATCTCTCTCAGAGGTCGATGATCCACTCTGCCCTACCTGGACCACCTGACTGGCCCATGAGGTAACAAAAAGGAGGAAAAAGAAAAACAACAAAGAGAATAGAGAAAAACACAAGCATCCCTTTACAATAAGTTAAAAAGACTTGCATTGCTCTACATGCCTCAACCCAGTGTTTTACAGGGGAGCCCTGGGAGATGGTTGTCTGCCTGATGGCACTATCCATTGTAGTTCCCATGAAGACCCATATTGATCTTCTCGACTTGAAAAATGTCACACTCAACTTCTGACCATAAAATTCATTCAAGCATTAAAGCACTTGATCATTGACCACTACCACAGATTGATGTACTTAAGGTAGCACAAGATTTAATACCACTGTATTTGCCTTGGGATTTCCTATCTCTTTTCCCCCCAGCTGTTCTGGTCTGGAATCAGTGCAAATTTTCCTGTTCCTGGAACTAGATTCCTTCCCTGTATAGTATAGTCTGGACACATAGGTATAGGGTGTAATTCCCTTTCTGGTCTCCTACCCCGTCCTGGACCAGCTGAGGGTATATCTCTTCTATGGTGTTTTCCAATGCTTATTATCCAAGCAACAAGTGTGTAGGTGATTCTAAATTATCTAAAATAAATAATTTTGATGATATGAAATTGAAAATCCTTTGTATGAACAAAGTTAGTGTAACTAAGATAAGAAGGAAAACATTCAACTGGGGGAAATATTTATATAAAATATATGCTAAAGGTGTGATTCCAAATCTATAGACAACCAACAGCAACATATAAGACCAAAAGACACTCTTCAATAGATAACTGATCAAAGGATATGAGTAAACAGTTCTCCAAAGAAGAATTGCAACCATATGAAAAAAGGGCTCTAAATTACATCTACAAATGTACATCAAAACAACTTGGAAGTATTCCACACTCAGAAAATTGCCATGGATGACAAAATATGGCAGATAATTAATGTTGGATTGTGGAAAGAAAGGTGTACAAATACATTGGTGGTAGACCTGTGAATTAGACCAAACATTCTGGAAAGCATTTTGCTGGGTTTTGTTTTGTTTGTTTGTTTACTTTTTTTTTTTTTTTTTAGGTAATTGGGGTTTAGGTAATTGGACTTGCCTAGGGTCACACAGCTAGTAAGTGTCAAGTGTTTGGTCTGAGGCCGGATTTGAACTCAGGTCCTCCTGACTTCAGGGCCGGTGCTCTATCTACTACACCACTTAACTGCCCCTTCTGGAAAGCAATTTGGAACTATGTGAAGAAAATGACTAAAATGTCCATACCCTTTTGCTAGACTTATACCTCAATGAGGTATAAAAAGACAAAAATAGAAGATATATATACGCAAAAATATTTATAATGGCGCTTTTTTTTTTTTAGTAGCAAAGTGCTAGAGTCAAAGGGGATACCCATTAATTAAGGAATGGCTAAGCAAATCCTCCCACATTAACGAAATGAAATGTTACTGTGCTGTAAGAAACAATAAATACAAATGATACAGAAAAGTGTGAGAAGACCTATATGAACTGATGCAAACTGAAACAAGCAGGATCAGTAAAACAATATACATACACAACTATAACAGTGTAAATGAAAAGAACAACAAACAAAAGAGTCAAAACTGAAACTATAATGACTAAGGTTTTACACCCCCCCCCAAAAAAGATATAAATTGACACGTTTCCCTGCTTCTTTAAAAAGATGGTAGACTACAGATGTGGAATACTGCATGTGATAGCAGATATTTTCAACAAGTTAATGAACTATTTTTTTCTTCTTTTTTATGACGGATGGCTTTCTGAAAGGGGTTGGAGGAGGGATATGGTGGGAAATGTGATGTAAAAAACAAAAGATGTCAATAAAAATTTATTTGAAAATAAATTCTCCCTTCAAATTCAAATGCCTATCCCCTAACTATTTTTATTTTGTGGGGTTTGTGTGTGTGTGTGTGTGTGTGTGTGTGTGTGTGTGTGTGTGTGTGT